AACAAGGTCTAGAAAACAGTGCAAGCCCTTCTGTGTGGCACCTTTAAATCTCACTCTTCTTCCACAGCTAAATTCCTTCAATCATCGCTTCCTCACACCTCGGACAGTGGGCCCTGATTCCTCAATCCTGCAATGAATTTAAAAAGGGCTCTCAATCGCCTGGCCTGTCTCAATCTGCACTGGGGTCAGCTCTCTAAATCCCGGCGGCTGACACCGAATCAATTACCACATGGCTGGTGGGTAAGCAGAATGGGACGGCCACAAAGAAGTCCAGAAAGAGGGCTAAATATGAACCACAGTGACCACCGCTCAGCAGTTTGCTGTTCTATCGACTCCGTGCCAACTGTGCAGAACCAACGCTGCAAAGACAAACCACCGGACAGCAGAACGTCCCACAGCACGGCCCGTCACACCCCGCCGAGTGCGGAGCGAGTAAATCATCGGCCACGATTCACTCTGACAAAAATCCACCGACAGATATTACAGCCACAGATTTTTTAAGTATAACTTGTAATTTCATTTAAAATTCAGCAAATAATCAAATCTGCAACTAATGAGTATTTTTATTATTGATTTATCAGATATTTTTTGTTGACCCGTTTCTTTTTTTTGCTTCCATTTTAAATGTTTTTATGCCCGTTATGACTTCCTGAAGGCAAAACAATGTCATTAAAATATTTGTATTGTCTCTTATCAACAGTAAAAAACTCAAAAGATATTCAATTTATAACCACATGAACTAGAAAAGGCAGTAGAGGCTCTCATTTGAGAAGGAACCAGACAATTTGGGAATTTTTGTTAATAAAAAAAAAATAAATAAATCAAGCGTTATTAACTAATTATTAAATACTTGCAGGTTATTTTTCTGTCATCTATAAAATATTAGAAATATTGACAAATGGAAATGCAATTAAGTCACATTTTCACATTAGCCAACACAAGATCTCCAAATAATATATTTTATCTAAACAATAACAACCCAAAATCTAAAAATATTCCATTTCAAATTGTATTAAATACATTTGGGCTGAAAGCATTTGTCATTTTAGTTTAATTTAACATAAATCTAACTATTAAAATTGCAGCAGAATATTTTCTGTCAATCGCTTCACCTCCAGAAGATGCTCTTCACCTTCCCTTTAAATCAACCATAACATATGAAGCATCGCAGCTCTGAGGACCCCGTCTCCAGCTTTCCAAACAGATGTTTGTAAGTTTGTGTGTCATCGCCACCTCTTCACAGATGAACATTTCTTTTCAAATCAAATTCAGCTGATGCATTTTAAGCAGGGCCCACACAGCCTGCAACAAAGGAAAACAGGCTTCTGAGTGGATGATAAGTAAAAATGTGTTTCTTTGTCGAAACCGTCAGCTGTCAGCGTGTCTGGTTTTCTATCTGACAGTGTAGACAAACATCTCCAAAGCATCTTTTATGGTGGTTTGACAATGATGTATGACCACGGTTAATACTTACATGCCTTGTTGTGCTTCATTAACGTGCATATTAATGATTTTACACCATTGTCGTATTTGCAAAACAAATGATTTTGTGAAATTAGACCTTGAGCCATTAAACTGACATCAATTCATTTAATTTGCTCATTTTCCAAACTATTCTAGTCCAAGTATGCTTGTAACTTATCAAACATGTTGGTTTTCTGATATAAGAAGCAATCTGAGGTGGCAAAAAGAAGCTGTGATGGACATTTGTCACATTATACTGACTTTTTAAAACATTTTTCAAACTGAAATACAACTTTTTAGTAATTAAAAATGCAATTCAGTCACTAAAGATTGCCAAGAGAAAACTTAGTTCACTGAAGCCAAAAGCCACGACTTGTCTTTCTATATTAAAGATAAAAAAAATAACACAACATGAAATAAAAGTCACCACTCGCTCCATTAAGATAAGGACGAGTGCAGCGTGAGCCATCCACACAACAAAACGCTGTGCAGGGAGCGAGGGGGGGAAGAACGAGAGACTAAAAATTAGTAGCATCCTGCAGACGGAGGCGAATGCAGCCGGTTCTGTGCGAGCTGTGAGCCCGTCACGCTGACAGATGAGGCGGTGTGGAGCTGAAGGTCAGCTCCTGAATGCCTGATGGAGTAACAGCACAGAGAGGAACACAGGCTACGGAGGAAGTGTACAGGTTTAGCCTCCTGACATCTCTCTCTCTCTCCATCAGTCACTCTGCAACTCAGCGCTGATGAATGAGAGGCGATGAGACTCTGGTCATTCGGCTGCTTGGAAACCGGAGCCAGGTCTCGTCTTTGTTTGCAGCGATGTGGCAAATTTCTGTGAATCCCCTGATTTCAGCATCTCTAAAGGTTATGCACCGTTCCCTGCACGACGTAAAGGGTCAGCTTCAGCCGCAAAGATGATGAAGAGATCCTTGTAGGAATATAAGGGTTAACCGTTCACCTAAAAACCAGTCAGACCAGTTGGAAAGCCTGGAAGGAATGTAAAAAAACCCTCCCTTACAATAGTGTATCCTCACTTAGTGTGACTTGAACCTTTTCCCTCACAACCTTAAAGAAGACCGCCAGACATTCGTTCTGCACTTCCAGGCGTTTGATGGGAGATACAGGCACAATAGACAGGTACATTATCTCCTGCACGGAGCTGCACACCACCCTCTAAGAGGCTGAGAATGGATCGAGTAGCAGAGGCAAAAGAAAGTCCTCCTCTGTGGGACTTATCTGGGGAGGTAAAAGAGCAGCTCTGGAAATATCAATATATTCGCTTCAGTCAAGGAAACAAGCTGATTCGACACTTCTTCTATCTCCAGGAGAACATAGTTCAGTAATAAACTGCTTACTGATGGTGCACAATGACAATGCTACTTGGTGTACAACAATAAATGCCAGAATATGGGGGTTGGACACAGATTTTAATTACTGCAGGATATATTTTCTCCCAGAGCAAAAAAACACAACACAAAACCATCTTAGCTGCTGTTCAGTATCAGGAGCGTAAAGTAATCTGAACCGTCCTTTTATTACTGTTGTCTTTTCATGCTGATTGGCATAATTACAGAGGCTTTTAGCACTTCTCTCGTCGCTCCTTTGAGGCAGAACTGGTCATTTAAATCCCACAGACTTATGTGTAATTCTGTTAATTCCTACCATGGCTGTGATTTGGCAGAAAAGGCGCTGATGCAATAGCTCAGCTCTTCAGAAGCACCAGTCATTTAGGAGCGTAACAATGCTCTGGTGAACCCCCGACACTTTGGCCTGACCCCAGCGACGGACCGCAAAAACGCTGTGACGGCAAACACGGTTTAACGCAGAAAAGGGGAATGACGCAGGTGTGTGAATGTGGTAAAGAGCCGGTGGATGATATGTAATCAGAGGCCTTTTATCTAAGCCTTGTCTGACATTACAGTCGCAGAAACTCCAATTACAGTGATTGTTTGATATGGCAACTCAGCTGTATTCCAACACCTGGAGGCTGACTCGTGTCCACATTAGAAATACATGTTGGCTTTAAGTAAAGCAAGAAGCGTGCCAAGAAACACGACGCTGACTGCAATAGGCTTAAGAAAATGAACCTGACTCACAACGTAAAGAAGCAGTAATGACGCAAGGTCAACCTTTCATCTGGCGCTCTCACATCGATACACAATGCATTAGACGCACTCAGGAGTCATGGAGAGCTCTTGACTTCCTCTGAATGTGTGCGCGCAGATTTCCACACACACACACACACCCAAAAGTTAACATAAAAGTTAACAAGAATTTTGCGCCCTGGAGAAATGTTCACATTCACTCATCCTTAAAGGTGCTGCAGTTGGCATATATTGAACTGTTCATTTAACAAGGCAACCAAGCCTTTAATACTTCCCCTGCTGTGTCAGGCATGTTTCCACACTCTGAGCTTGATTTAAGGAATCACAGCACATCCATTACTGGCTCGCCCCAAAAAAAGTGATGATGATGATGATGATGGTGGTTCTGCTGACAAATGGTGTTTCCTGGGCAGCATTTGATTGTTTTTGCTTTTTAAACAGCCATTTATCCAGTTTCTGAATATGCGGGCCATCAGCAAACAAGTCAAATCGATATGAAGCGTTTTATCATTTAAATACACGACCAGGGACAAAATATGACAAGTGTTTGCATCGTTTTTCAAGCTTAAATATTTGACTAAAGTCCAGCTTCTTTGAGTTGGATGTCTTTGTCCATTTATCAGAAGCTTTGAACTTTGTGAGAGAAACAACTACTACATGATCCGACTAACTGATCAGTTGTCAGATATGAAATCAATCAACAACTACTTTGATAATCAGTTTGAGCATTTTTAAAAAAAAAAGTAATTCCACCTTTTACACTTTTTGAATTTTCTGATTTCTTTTCTCGTCTATTACAGCAAACTGGGTTGTGAACAAAACATCTGAGAAGATCATATTGACACTTTTCACCATTTTATAGAGCAAACAATTAGTCAATTAATCAAGAAAATAATCAAGAGATTAATTGACTGTGAAAACAATCATTAGTGGCAGCCTTACATTAAATCAGGTAATTAAAAAAAACAACACATTAATCATAAGTTACAGCTCTGCAATTAAATATTAGACTTTTAATCAACTGCAACCTATTATACTTTTCATATATTTCTGTTTTTCTTACCAGTGTGTTGTTCTCTTTGTAATAATCATATTTTCTTTAAGGTAAAACAAAAAAAATCCCCTCACTGGCATTAGAGCTGAAGGCAGCAGTGAAGGAATCAGTATAAATCAATGTACTCTGGCTGCTGGAGCCATCGTTAGCCCTGACTGGAGCTGCAAAACAAAAGCAGCAACAACAACAAAGGGGTAGCTGCTGCTTAATACAGAGTAACATCAGGAACATGGGCTAATGTTAGCAGATGTGTGTGAAGTGATCGGGCTAGCCAGCCACAGCGCTCGGCTGTTTTCGCTGGCTACCTCCACACAGCTATGCATAAAAAATGACTGACTGCGGGGCTGACACGGCGTGTGGCTCCGCCGACAACTTACCTTGGGCTTGTACAGCCACTTTCGAAAGCGGTTCATCGTTCCCTCGCCACCTTCCTTTGTCACCGACCCCTCCTCTCCTCTCCTCTCTACCTGTGTGTCTGACAGTATCGGCGGCTGGCGGCTAAGCTAAGCTAGCGGGTCCAAATCGGAAAACGTACAAAACACAATGTACGCTAAGTTGTCCTGAACGCTACCACACGGCTCCGGACGAAGGGGATATTCGAAAAGAGCCACTTATTTCCATCTTCCCCAAATCCCCCGAGGTTCGCTGCCTGTCTCCACCCGCCCGGTCACTTTCCAAGTCCCGACGATGTACAGACAACCGGAGCACCGACGGCTCCGCTGTTCTCTGCCCCTCTAACGTTACTTGATGACAGTCACGTTGACAACATTCACCTCCCACTTTCCCAGGAAATGCGGCGTTCAAGTGCTGCTCCCGGAATCACCGCGCACACACACGCCGTGAGTGGTGGATTTCATACTGGAAATGATATCCTCAAGTGACATCTACATGGAAGTGGTTCTGCTTTAAGAGTTCAGAGTTATGCAGCATCAGAAATGGAAAATAAATTGAAGATAAAACGTTTTTTGTGTGTTTAAAAAAAAACAACAACAATACATTTACCTGCTTATTCTGGAGCTTATCCTTGTTTTTCTTAAAGTTAGGCCTGATAATAGGCTTTGTGTGTTTATATATGTGTGTGTGTGTGTGTGTTTTCCACATATACACTGTACATATATTTTTTCTGCTAGAAGTGTATATTCTTGTATACATTTATCTTAGCTTATTTTATTTTCTATTATTATTATTTATTTTATTTTCATTCTTTTTTTTCTTTGTATAGTTATTTTACTTTATTGTTAATCTTTTCCTTGTTAATTCCCAGGGCGACACCAACAGCCGGAACCAAATGTATGTTGTGTACATACTTGGCCATGAAAGCTGATTCTGATTCTGAAAAGAAAAATAAAAGAAAGCTGAGCGACCCCCGTATCTTTACCCTGTTTAAAAAAAAAAACTCGAGTCTATGAATAGCAGTAGTTATCTTTTATTATTTACTGGACACGAGGATGCTACTCAGTGTAGGTGAACTATCTGTATCTATCCATCCATCTATCGATCCATCTATCTATAATTCATATATATGTATATATGTATATATAGTTGTATTAGTGACAACATAATGCCAAACCAATGACTTTGTTTACACGCCCACGAAAAATCAGATTATGTTAATCAGATTAAGGCAGGAAATCAGATGATGCATTGTGAGGCTGAGGTCTTAAAACCCAGTTTGCATGTGATGTGTTCAGTAATCAGCTTTTTTCACCCCCAGTGAACCCCCTCAAACCCCAGATGTGACGTGAGTCGCTTTCTATTATTGAGAAAGTCCATATAATAAACATTTCTAAAACTCTGCCGTGCTGCTTTCATGTGGTTGCCATTATTTGAACGTCTTTCTTCTTTTCATGCTGTGATTTTGATTATCCGGTGATTATTATAACATTTCCAACAGCACCTGAACGCAGCGCACCGCTCGCACAGACGTCACAACATACTACGTCATAATTATTGTTATGGCAGCCAACAAAGGATCAGGATGCCACACTGTTAATCTGCGAGGATCAAAACATGAATGGCTTTACATGTTGACCAAAACAGCCCAGTAATAAAACAGCCCTCGTCAGATCAAATAAAGGTGGTATTTCTTCTTATAAAAGTCGTCTCCTCCTCATTCAACCTCTCTGTTTACGCATGTTTTGTGTTGCTAGGCAACGGGTGAACACGGCTGGAAGGGCTGGAAATGAACACAAACAGCTCCGAAGACATTTCTTGGGAAATTTAACTTTCTATGAATCACTGTGATTTTAATATATAGGTTTTATTTTTAAATGATCACATGTGTAGTTTTTCATTGAAGAAAGTGTATTTGTGCTGGATTTAAAATGGCATCGAGCTATGGTTCCCTTGTGAAGGAAGCCATCGTGCTGCTGGATGAGTTTAGAGCTGGTAGACAATGTTTAGATGACTTTATAGAAGGTGCTGGGAAGGATCTGCAGGTAGGTGGACTCACATCAGCGTCTACGTGACGCTTGTGCTGAAACCTGTTTTCATGAATGTCACATGTGTTGCAGAACATGGACGCTGTGCAAAAGAAGTTCATACTTGATGTTGTTTCTGGATGTGTTGAGCACAAAAAGTTGCTGGATGTAGTAATCAGTGGCTTCTATGGTCAGAATGGGAAACGACTGTCCAGAGGGGATGACAGCCAGTTTGTTGGTAAGTCATTAACATTAAGTCAGTTCATTAAATAAACCTCCTGATGGCTGTCTGTAGTCAGAATGAAACAGCTTCACCCCTCACATGTTTGCAATGCTGTGCTGCTCCTCAGTTATTTGCTACCTCGTCACATTTATTCTCGATGACCTTGGACTTGAGAATTTCAGCAACATTGTCAGATCTCTGGACACCAAGAACATACACACAGTAAGAAACACAGCTTCTGAGCACATCAGTGTTGTTTCACTGGAGAGAAACAGTAATCAATCGCTCTCTTATGGTGCACTCTGTGTATGTTTTGTTTGGTTAGTTCTTCAGTTTCTTCTTCTCAAACCTCACCACGTGGATAAAAAAGGAGTGGAGTAGCATCTATGATGCTGCCTTTGTGGAGAAACACTGGATTGGCCCTCTGCTCAGGTGAGAAGAGCAGAGCACAGGACTCAGCCTTCTATTAATAATAAAATAATGTTATTCCAGAGGCAAAGAACAAACATATATGTCTGTGCATCCTTTAGATGGCGCCCTGAGATCGATATTCTCATGAACAAACTTGCTGTCAAACTATCTCAAGAGAATCAGGTCAAGAAAGCTCCGATCAAAACCACTGAGACGCAGGAGTTCTCCCTCTCCAAACCCAAACCTCGACCTCTGCCTCCGCCTGAGATCATCCCACAGCAGGAAAAATACAAACCAGTCAGCCTCAGTTATAGTTATAGACAGTCTTTCCCTGTGGTGCTGAACAGTTACTGTCTTTGTGTGCTGCCTTCAGCTTTTCCCAACAGAAATGCATAAAGAGAGCGAAGCCTCGTTCATTCTGCCGTAGAGGCCGGTGCATCGCTCATCAGGCTTTTGTTTTGCAGGTACCAAACAGCACCTACAGGGCTCCGAAGGAGATGCAGATAATAGAGGAGATCAAAGAAAAGAACCATCAAAAGGCTGAGGTACGATGTCCAATTTTACTGTTATCATCAGAAAAAGAGCATGACATTAGAAAGTAAAAACACGGCCTGATGTGTAAACGTAACACAAAAGAAAACAGCAGAGACAGTAAATCAACAGTGTATTATTGGGCATTACAGCACATTACAAATAGTCGTCTTTTCTACAATGATTCCTACTTAATCAACAACACTGCCAGCTTTATTGCATTACAAGCCATTTTAATGACTTCTTGTCTGTTTTTCACCAAAGGATGAGACAAACATGAAGCGTTTCAGATGTGCAAATCCACAGAAGTCTGAACACACAAAGGTAAAGGACATTTTTTGTGTGTTTTACATGGAGTTCCAAAACACTGTCATTGATTCATGTCCAAGCCTAATTAGGGAAGAGGGAGCCCTCCTCTTCTCCTCCTCCTGAGCCTATTTTGTGATTTTGAATTAAAAAAAAAAAACAAAAACATTTGACTATACTTCAGAAGTTTCATTTCTATTCTGTTTGTAACTAAACTCCTACATAATGCGTGCCTGCGGCTGTCCTTGATTTCAAAGCCAGCTCACATTTCTGCTGAACTTGCTTTCATTTGTTTTGCAGAGAGCGATGTCCCAGATTGACAAAGAGTTTGAATCAAAGCTCAAGTTTGATTCATTTCGTTCTTCAGCTGCTCCTTCCAGTAACAAGGTGAGATCCAAGTTGATCAGTTTTCAGTATGAAATTGGAAGTATTAGCTCTTGTAGGTACAACGTGTATGTGTGTTGTTTTTTATTTTTGTTATTCTGTCAGGCTAACAGCTGTCCCATCAAGCTCAACAAAACAGCCATCCTGAGGAGGGAGGCGCTCTGTGACCGCCAGGTGGAAGAGGAGCTGCAGAGGTACAGAACAGCATCTTCCTGCCGCTCACTGACCTGTTTCAGGGTGTTATACAGCTAAACCCGACAAGTGCCTACACAAGACACCACAGGAATGAAGTGCAACCCTCTATAGGACTTGAAATTAAAGGAAAATTCAACATGAAGTGTCACCACATCCTGCCAAAACACCTTCAGCGCTCCTCGGTATTGATTCGTTACATCTCTGGAGCTCAACTGGAGGGTTTGACACCATTTTTTCCAAAAGACATTTCCTCATTTGGTGCTGGTGGGTTGAGATCTGGTGACTGCGAAGGCCACAGCACATGATTCACATCGTTCTCATCCAAATGAAACAGCTCAGTGACCCCATGTGCCCTTTGAATGAGAGCATTGTCGTCCTGGAGGAAACCACTCCCACCAGGACAGAAATGTCTCATCACAGGATAAAGGTCATCTCTGAAAACAGCTTTATGTTGATTTGCAGACACGTAAAAATACCAAGAAAATGTCCAAACGCCCCCACAGTGAGAGAGTTGGCTTCACCGTAGAGGTCAAGGGTTCAGGGTTTTCCTTTAACTTGTCACCCATCTGCAGTTTGCATGTATGTATTTCAGGTTTGGACTAACCAAATGGAGCATTTGTAACACAGACTGGAGCGCCTGGTGCGAGGGGACCGGGAGCCGTTGCCTCCCCTGCCGTGGCAGACGGAGCGCAGACACCTGGAGGGACGCATCGTGGACGAGGAGGCCGCTGTGGCCCGCCAACGGATCACGGAGCGCAACCAGAAGACTGCACAGCTGAAGAAAGAAGAGGTGGGTGAAGATCATTCGGTAACTGATAAGAAAAGGCATTTAGAGGAGATTACACGGTGCTTTAAACTGTGTAAAGAGAGGAGTAATTACACTAAAGCTTTTTTGTTCTCCAAACATCCTGTGAAGAAGTCAGTTTAAACGGTGTTAAATTATGCATGAAAATTTTGCTTTTTTTTACGGTTGCTTTGTTTGTTTTTTATTCCTAGACGGCTCAGCTGATGCGAAGCTATGCGGAGAAAAGGCTGCAGGAGGAAAAAGCCCTGAGAGATCTGGTGCAACAAGTAGCAGAAGGCCACAAGAACTCAAAAACGGCCAAAGAGAAGCTGCAGAAATTAAAGCAAAGCATAGGTACGCGTCCTCATTTGACACCCAGCAGCTTTCATGACCACCTGTTCATCAATTTACCTCAAACTTCACAGTGAAAGAAGTCTCAGGACAAAGTCAGGAGCTCCTTCGTCAGGCCCTAGAGGAGGCACAGGCAGAGCTGAGCAGAAAGTTTGAAATCATACAAGAAATTCACGCCATTGAATCGCTGCCTCACGTTAGAGTTAAGAACTTTGATGACACGGAGGTGAGTAAAAGAAAGAGACAGAATTTTACATTTGTGAACTCTCATGTTCATCACAGTTAGTCTGTCTCATGTCAGACTGCAGGCCACAAGCTGCTGGGAGAAATGTCTCTGGTGGAGCTGAAGGAGCGACTGAACCTTGCGAAGGCGACGCAACAAGCAGAGCAGGAGGACAAACGGAGATGCATCCTGGAGGAGAAGCAGAAAAAGAAGCAGCAGCTGCAGGAGACGCTGGAAACCATCGACCTCCACGGGAGAGCGCTGGCACGAACCGCCGCCATCAGGTCAGGAAAATGTTTGGCTCTGACTCGATTGCGGCAGTGGGAAAGCTCAGGCCTTAAAAACACACACAGACACCACATACTATACATTCAGGATGGTTTTTTTGGCTTTGTGGCAGGAAAGAGGAGAGGAAGGCCAGGCTGGAGTCCGTTCAGCAGGCGATGGCTCAAGATGAGACGCTTTCGATGCTGCGGAAGAAGCTTGAAGAGAAAAAGCAAGAGCGGCAAAGACTGAAGCAAACTGAAAGCGGCAAGGCCAGAGCCTCCAAACAGACAGCAGCTCACACCGTCGGTAACAACCAAGTGAGTACGAAACCCGGAACAAACAAGGACTCGCTTCTCTCAGCGAGTGAGCCGTCTGCTTTGTTTTTGTGTTTCACGCTGGTTGCAGTAAATAATACCCATCTCTCCTCTCTCTCTGTTTGCTTCTGCCAGAGAAGTTTAAAGGAGAAAAGCTGGGAGGAGCTGGAGCAGAGCTTAGCGCGACACATCCGGGAGGCTTCTTAGATGCTTCTACGAGGGAAACGCTGAGGAATAAACACATGCAGCATGCTTCACAACGCTATGGCTGTTTGATGAATGGAATAATTAGCATTCCACGGTTACAAATTCAGTTGACAAATGTTCAATTAAAACAGCTTGAACGATGTTTCGCTTATTCAAAGATTTAATTTACATCCACTATTGTTTCATCGCTTCACCGACACAGTGACATCGTTTGAGATTTTCCATGCAAACCTAAATTTATTGCATTAATCCTTCCTATATGGTAGCAAAGGATGATTGTTCCTCTAATGTTTGGTACTGTACGTCCAGTAAATATCTTTGTTTTTTTTTTTCATTTGTCCCCAAAGTTATCACCTCCCACTTCTGCATGTTGCATGAAAAAGGGGAAGTGGACCTTCATCTCATGACTCATGAGGAATTTTTTTCTTCCCCCAAAGCAATACTGGTGTTATTTCTGTGGTTTGTGTATTTTGGTAACAAGTTACTGTACAAAGAGCCATTCACCGTTGCTCAGAGTAAGTCAAGCGGCATCTGTGAGAAAATTTCCACAACAAAACAGAACCACTGCAGCAGCAGACAGTATAAACACAGGAACACTATTGTCATTTCTGTTGTGAAAATA